GAGAGAGAAGAGAGAGAGAGAGAGAAGAGAGAGAGAGAAGAGAGAGAGAGAGAGAGTAGACAAGTGCTCTATCACTAAGCTACATTCCTAGTCCTTTTCAAAATTTTCATTTGGAGACAGGGTCTCACTAAATTGCCTGAGCTGGCCTCAAACTTGGTATACTCCTGATTTATCTTTCCAAGTAGCTGGGATTATAGGTATACGCTACCCTATCCAGCTGAATGTTAATTCTTAATTTTGTCATGGTTGTTCTGTTAACACTTCATCTGTTGTTACAATCACAATTCTCAGGCTTATTGCTTTTTAAACCATACTACAATGAATAATTTAATTATGAGTATTGGAAAGGAAGTATTTTATAGGTCTTAATGTTATTTTAAATAGCACTTTTTTTAATTTTTCCAAAAATTAATGTTTGAGCATTTATGCTACTAAATTCACTTATTAGTTCTACCACCTATTTTATAGTTTCCCTAGGATTTTCTAACATAATCCACAAGTTTACTGTGTCATTTCAAATCTTTATGATTTGTATTTCTCTTTCTGGACTTACTATCCAGAGGAAGATCTCCAATGGAACATTAAATAGAAGTGGAAGAGTAAAGATTTCTGCTCTAGTATCTTAGGAAAAGCGCTCAGTAGCTCACTATTAGATACGGTGTTAGTTGTGAATGTTTCACAGATAACCTGTAACCCTTCTCATCCTATTTCGACGAGCGTTTATCATGAATGGGCACTGAATTTTGTCAAATACATTTCCTGCATCAACTGAGATGATTATTTTTTTCTCCTTTATTCTTGAACTGTGATATTGATCGATTTCAAAATGCTAAAACAACTTTGCAAAATGCTAAAATTTTATAATACTAGGGTAAACTCTACTTTGTCTTAACATACTTTCTTATGTATTACAGGATTGTATAATGCACTTTCTTAAATAAATTCTAATTTTTTGTTAAGGATTTTCTTGTCTCTTTCGTGAGAGATATGGTCTATAATTTGCTTTAATTGTAATGTCTTTAACATGCTTTAGTGTCAGGATTATGCCTGTTTTAAAACAAGTTAGGAGAATGGCTGTTTTCAAAGAGCTTGTATTAGAGACATGTTTAAAGAAGTAAAAACAAGTAGTCATTGCCTGAATTTATATTACTGTTACTCTAATAGCTGAAAATATTAAAACTATTATCAAGAAAATCGTAAAAAGATTAACAGATTTATAGATTTAAGTAATAATTCAAAGCTGGGCATGGTGGCAATGCCTGTAATCCTAGCACTTGGGAGGCTGAGGCAGGACAGCCATGAATGAGTTCAAGGCCAGCCTGGGCTACAAAGCGAGTTCAAGGTCAGCCTAAACTACCTACTGAAATCTTGTCTCAAAAAGACAATAAATAGGGCTGAGGATGTTGCTCAGCGGCACAGCGCCTGCCTGGCAAGTGCAAGGTCGTGAGTTCGATTCCCGGTACCAGAAAAAAACAAACAAAACAAACAAACAAAAAAGACAATAAATAAATAATAGTTCAATATAATAGAAGAGACATCTCAAGATAGCAGCAGATAATACAGTCTTTTCAAGTTCATGGATAAATTACTTCAAGCTAATACAGTCAGGAAAAGCTTCATAATATTATAAAGAAAGTCAAAGTTGAGTGTATCTTAAAAAAAGAGTGGAAGAGAAGAAACATACTGCACTGAGGACTGACAAGAGTGTGAGAGCTACAGAGCACAGTATAAGCTCAGAGGAAGAGAGCAAGTTCACTCCTCAGAGGGAGTAAACAAGTGTGGTTCTAACCTGGTGATTAAGAGCACAGATCCCACAGGCAGACTGTCTGGCTTCTGATCTTGGCTCCACTATTTACTGGCTTTCTGGCTTTGTACAAGGTACTTACTATGAGTCTGCCATTTCTAGATAAGGAGCCTAGGCCTTGGACAGACTCACAGTGAACATGAAAAGCCAACTGATTAATTTAAGTCCAGCTCAGGTCTGCTTCGAAGTGGTCTCCATCACATGACAACTGAAGAAATCCATGACCACCAAATCAGCTCTCCAAAATGCTCTGAAGGATATTTTAGAAAGGGATAAGGAAGGCCACAAGCCCAAGAACACTAATAGAAAAAAACCACCAGGCAGGGCAAGCAATTAAACAGAAGGAAAGACAGGGTACTAAAATATTTTCATAATATCTGAAAAGTAATTCTTTATAGCTGCTGTAATACCAATATACTTAAAAAGTTTAAATGAATACATGAGGCCAATGGATCATATCACTATGACCACTTTTTTATGTACAGATATTTTACTAGCCATGAATTTTTAAAAATCAAATAAATGTAAGCCCCAGTACACAAAGTCAGGCCATCTTTTTATGGTTCACATTTATTTACATATTCATTTTCTTGAATTTTTATTAATAATTTGTCAACTAAAATCTCAGAGCAGAATAGAATTTATAAATATAGAACTTAGCAATATTTTAAGTGACAGCACATAAATTTTAGCAGTATAATGCTCTCTCCTCAAAAGGCACTCCTAACAAAAGCACATAACTCATTTCTTTAGAGTCACATTAAATCAAAAAAGCTCAAATTGAGGAACATTCTACAGTACAACTGGTCTCTTAAAAAGAATCAGTGTCATGACGAACAAAGTATTTCAAATGAAAGACTAAACAGAATTAACAACTAAGGAAAATGCAGGATCACAGACTGACTCTTGAATCAGAGAAAGTTTGCTATGGGGTACTGTACTGCACAACCAGCAAAATCTGAATGTGGATTGGACAAGAATATTTTATCAGTGCTGAGTGTCTTCTACTATGGTTTTATAGAACAGGCACTGGCCAATCATTTCTGTAAAGGAGCAAACAATAAATATTTTAGGCACTAAAGGGCATATAAAGTCAACTATTCTGCATTGTTTTTGTTCTGTTTTATAATCCTTTAAAAATAGAAAATCCACGCTCAGCTTAAGTGCTATACAACGACAGGGCAAGAACTAAATTTGCCTAACAAGCCACAGTTTGCCAAACACTGATACAGACAACATTCTCGCTCTAAGGAAATGCTCAGTGAAGAACGTAAAGGTAAAGGATCATGGTGTGTGCTTCTATCTCTCAACTGATTCAGCAAAACTAATAGTTACATGTCAATGAGAAATCTAAGACATGGCAAAATGTTCACAATTGATAAACCTAGGTGAAAGAAAAAGGGAGTTCACTCTACTGTCTCTGCAACTTAGCTTCAAGTTTGAAAATAAAAAATAGAGGAAAAGAAAAGTCACCAATGGCCCTCGCAGGGTTGAACCCAGAAGTTTCGACGTGCAGGCATGGGACATGATTCCAGTGGCTCAGACAGAGAAGAATGAAAGGGCTCACAAAGCGCAAGTCACCTGGTCATCGAGGTCATTTCAATACATACCCATGGGTCCACAGGTATCTAGATTCTCCTGTCATCACTAGCAAACTCCGACGAGGCAACATCACTTGCACTGTGACACCATCTGGGTGCTTAAAATCCATAACAACCTGAAAGCAAAGACAAAAGCAGAGAGAGGAGCACAACATTTCAGGCACTACAATACTCCAAGGACAAGAATGGTGTATTCATTCTGGCCATCTTTCCAGGCTAACAGATATTAAAACATGACAATGCTTATGCAGAAACATAGCATAAGGGTTCTCAAACTTTAGTGTCGTAAGAGTCAACTGAATGACAAAAAAAGATCTTCATCCATAGATTCAGACTTGGCAGATCTGCATTTCTAACACTCACCTGGGAAGTGGGTGACTGGAGGATGAGACCGTGGAAAAACCCTACAGGAGTGGTCACACAAAAGGACTTTTTTTTTTTTGCCTTTTTTTGAGGCAGGGACTTGCTATGCAGTTTAGGCTGCCTTGAGCTCACTTTGTAGCCCAGGTTGGCCTCAAACTCGCAACCATCCTTCTGCCTCAGCCTCCTGAGTGCTGGGATTACAGCTGTGAACCACCATACCCAGCTCCACATATAAGGACTTTAGAACTAAAATTCATGTCCTGGCTCTTCCATCTACAGCCATGTGACCCAGGATAAGCCATCGAATCTCTAAGCCCTGGTTTTCTCCATTATTAAAGAATTACTACCTGAATTAAATAAATAATGGATAGAAATTAAATAAATAATGAATAGAAACTTCGCCTATAATAAGTCCAAAAGAGAAGCTACGGTTATTTTTATTCATGAAATGAATAAAAGTACAAAGTAAAAACTATTTATGCCAGGCATGGTAGCACATGCCTGTAATCCCAGCACTCAGGAGGCTGAGGCAGGATCATTGTAAGTTCGAGGCCAGCCTGGGCAACAAAGTGAGCTCAAGGCAAGCCTGAACTGCACAGCCAGACCCTCTCTCAAAAAGACAAAAAAAAAACCTTGTAAATTTGGTGATTCTAGCCAGGCATGGTGGCACACAGCTGTAATCCCAGTACTCGGGAGGCTGAGGCAGGAGGATCCCAAGTTCAAGACCAGCCTGGGCAACAAAGTCAGCTCAAGGTCAGCCTGAACTGCATAGCAAGACCCTGTCTCAAAAAGACCAAAAAAAAAAAAAAAGTTTGGTGATTCTGCATGTGAATTAAAAGTTCTTATACTTTCACTTATAACTAATATTGAACAAGAAGAAAAACATAATAAATTTTGTGCCAATAATCTAAAGTGTATATTTCTTTACTGTTACGGTTGATACATTGTCAACTTGAGGAGTCTAGAGGTTTGGCTAAGTGACTTAGCAGTTCTGCATCTTGGGGTGAAAAGGACATGCCCTTACCCCTCTGGGATGTTGTCCATTGTGTCAGTTTGAGATGTTAGAAGGTTACTATGTGACTCAGCAGGGAGCTGGGGTGCTTACTTTGTATCACCTTGAGCCTGTGCAGGTGGAGGGCCTGGAGATTATGTGAGTGCTACACGCCCCCTGGGTGGGGGTAGCCTGTTTACCATATAAGGGAGGGAAAGAGGCTGCCTCTCCTCCTTTGTGCTCTTGTTCCTTTTGCTGTCTTCCTCCGCCATAAAATTTTGCCCTCTGCCATGTGCCACTCTGCCTTGAGCCAGCCGAGTATGGACTGAAACCTCCACAAACTGTGAGCCAAATAAACCTTTCCTTCCTTCATTTTGGGCATGGGGTATTTTGTCTGAACAAGGAAAGAAAAGTAACCAAGACATTTACTAAGGATTACATTAAATAGCAAAAACAACCTTGAGAAATGGACAGAGTTTACAGAAAAAAAAAAAAAAGAAGTTGGTTTTTGGCAGTACTGGGTATTAAACCCAGGGCCTTCCACTAAGTCTTTTTTATTTTTGAGACTAAGTCACTAAGTGGTCCAGGTATCCATTAAGTGGACACTTGTATTCCTCCTGCCTCAGCCTCCCAGAGTGCTAGGAATATAGGTATGTACAACCAGGCACAGAAAGTTTTATGTTTTAGTACCTTTAATGGTACTGTCACATTTTCTGAATAAGGAACTCACATTTTCACTTTGAGATGAGCCCCACAAATTACAACTTTTAAATTTTGTAAATTTTTGATCAGCAATCTATTGTTTTGTACTTACAGAATACAAAAACACAATGTATTTTCTTGTATACTTACAAAGCCTTCATCTTGATCAGATAAGTATTCACTCTTATTTTCTGTTATTCTTTACATTTACATCTTTATAACTCTGAAACTTATTCTGGTGTAAGATCTAACAGTATCTTTTAACTTAAGGAAGTAATTTTTATTTATATAATTAAATATAGATTTCCCAGGAAAATTAAATTTTATTAAAACACTCAATCATCAAAATTAAAGTATTTACAATATAAAGCATCTGTACTTTTTGTTAAAAGGCCAAAAATCAAAAAACAAAACAAAAAAATCGAGGCTTCATAAAAACTTCATGACGAACTCACAATCAATAACACCCCCCGGCAGCTGCTGAATCTTTCTGCCATGGGACAGCCTTGCCCCACGGGAGCTTTCTCCAATCATTTGTTTTGGGGTTACCTGTCTTCTCTACTTTCTGAGATGGAAGCATCAATAAAGATCAAGCCCCCAGGAAGCGCATGAGGCATGACGGAGGATAATGGCCAGTTCAAAGCAAACAAACACAAATCTTAAGACACTCTGATCTTGTCCCTTTACACATCCAAATGAACAGAATGGGAACCTCAGACAAAGGTTATCAATCTATCAGCCAAGTAAAGGTAAGATTCACGACAGGAAAGTACACAAAGGAATACACAGATCTCTGTGTTGGCTAAACAGAAAAATGAAGAACATACTGCTTCTGGGAATACGTCTGAAAAGAAGACAAACTTAATCCCGATCCTTAATGGTTAGAAATGAGCTGAGTCATTAATCTTTTGAGTGGAAACCCTGAGGAATAGCCGGACAAGCGGCAACCTGATGTGACAAAGGACATATAATTCACAGAGAATCATGAAACCGGAGAGGCCAGAAGTTACTCCAATTAGAGAACATATTTCACCATTCAAAGTCCACCTGTTTTCCCACAGCACACCAAACACCAATCTTCTACAACTGTGCTGACATCTTTACCTGACTCAAGTGAAATAAGAGTTTACTTTCTATTTTAAGTAGCAAACAGGGGATTCTACACACCTCATTATAGACAGAAGTGTCTGTCACACCTGGGCAAGGGAAAAGGAAAAGAAAAAAACGGGGAGAGAAATTCAAACCTGCAAGGATAAAATATTGAAACCATAAATTATTTATAAAGAACTACAGCTAGGGGCCAGGGATATAGTTCATGGGCACAAGTGCCTGCCTGGCAAGCGCAAGATCCTGAGTTTGATTTCTGGTACAAAAAAAAAAACAAGAAAAGAAATACAGCTAGGCCAAAAATGTGTTTACATATTTTACCTAGATTTACAAACTTAGACTCCCACCATATTGTAATTTGTCCATCGTGGGAGTAAGAGGAAGCGGGAAAATTTTTAGTAAAAAAAATACAGTTCCCTGTCTCTCAACATAAATAATACCCCCAGAAGCGCATGTTGCCGAGCTGAGTAGATGGAAAAGAAGCTTGCTATTGTGCCATACTTTTCCATGGCGGAGAAATTGGTAATTCCGCCCTGGAGATTCCTTGGGACCAACAGCTGATGTCAGTGACTTTTACATGTTCTACCAATGCTGTATAGCCTGCTCCCTTAAAATAAGCTAAAAGGAAAGCCCACAACAAATCCATGTCACCTTCTTGGTTCTTACAAGAAAGCTGTTTAAAAATAATAGTAACAATGATAATAAATAAATCACACACACAAGACTTAACCATTTGACTACATTAGTTGAAAGTTGGAATCCCCAGATGATCAAATTTTGTGAAAGAAAAAGAAAAGGAGATAATATCACCATCACACAATGAAATCATCATACAGGACCCTCATTTGAAAATGATAAAATGAAAACAAGTTTAGCTCCCTTGTCCTACAATCAACATCAGTTTTTATAACATACAGGCCTCTGTCTTCTGGTCCTGACAGTGGAAAAATCACACACATTGACATGAAAATGGCACGGCACTCTATGACATGGGAAAGTGGGCCCGTACATAAGAGGTGCAGCAACCACAGGGGTGCACGTCTGCTACCCCAAGTACTCGGGAGCCTAAGGCGGGAGAATCATCAGTTCAAGTCTAGCCTGGGCAACTTAGTAAGGGCTAGGGATACACCTCAGCACTCCCTGGGTTAAAACTCCAGTACCAGGGAAAACAAACAAACACAGAAACCAGCACAGGGTAAAGGCACTTATTTCTCACTGATACTGAAAGAGAACATAAGAAACAACCTATTTTATGCTTCCAGTATTAAAACGTTCCTAGCTGACCAGGTACCACGCACACATTTCGAGTTCACACATCTGGGAACTTGCCTGCAGTACTGCATATGCGATACAAGCAAAATTAGATTAAACAAACTTTTTAAAAGAAAATATCACCAAAAAAATCTGCTTTACAGCCTAAGTCAGCAGATCCTGCCTTTCACACACAGCTCTGCTTCCCAAAACTAGGTCTCAGCTGCAGACTGGACGCGTTCTTCTGTCTCTTCCTCTCCACTCCCAGCTGCAGACGCTTTGGGACCGTTTCGTCCGGCTAAGCGAAAATGGAATGTAAAATCACAAGAAACAGCATCGTCTAGCTCAGTGGTCTAAACACATTGCCAAACAGCACCGTGGAGAGTAAAATACACACTGCCTAACAGGCAAAGTAACTTAGAAAAGATGCTGAGTTAGATACTTCAGTCACTACTGCGTATTCAATGTTATAGAAGCTCAGTTTAAATGCCTAAGAGATAATACGCTCATGCTTACGTGTTTACACTGACACTGCCTGCTCTCTGCACCCTCGCTTATCACACTATGGCTTCATTTCTTTGCGGGAACAATGAAGTGAAATCCACCATCATCCATAAATGCACTCTCAAAAATGTAAGTCGCAGAGCCAGGCATGGCGATGCACACCTGTAATTCTAGCACTTAGGAGACTGAGGCAGGAGGATTTCCATGAATATGAGGCCAGCCTGGGCTACATAGACAGTTCAAGGCCAGCCTGAACTACCTAGTAAGACCCTGTCTCAAACAACCAAGGAAATGAACAACAACAAAAAAAATGTAAGTCACAAAACAAACAGATAATGAGACATTTTAGCTTAAAAACTTACTCTTGCTTACTTATTACCTTCTATCTAGTGCACTATACTTGACAAAAATCACTGTTTTTAATGATTAATCAGAAGTAATTTACTTGAAAAATAGGATGATATATCTCGCATTTTTAGACAGACAGCTTTCTAATGAATTGCTTATATGCATAATGAGTTGCTTTAGCCCCTTCCAGAATTAAAGTATTTCACTATAAATTTGAATTACTTTATAATTTCAGCTTAACATTACAATACAGTGATTCAAACTCTCGCTCAAACTTTAGTTTACTGGCATCCATGGTTTCAGTCATTGCCATAGCTGCAATCACGTTCAAAAGGGGTATGATACAAAACAGACACTGGGGGAAGGGTTTATTGTTAATAATAATACATGTACACCCAGATTTCACATGATCTTACTGCCAACTCTGTAAGTGTAACTTCTGATCATATCTAATGAAATCATCATTAAAATACACATACATATCCAGAATATTTCCCAGGTTCTGATTTGATCAGTACCAAAGAAGGAAACCCAGACAGAGCAGAATTTGTTTTGTCTTATATGGGAGAACGGCAAAAGGGGGTAAATGGCTGAAGACAAAGATAATAATCTTGATTTAGATAAGTTAAAACATGGAATCAAGATAAAAAATGAGAAGACTGTTTGGCTTCTAGGGTTATAAACAGTGCTTATAAATGCAAATAAATACGGAGGGCTAAATGTGAAGATGGACGTAATGTTGTTATGGTTTGTGTCTGGGTGTCCCCCCAAAGCCTCACGTGGTCATGGGGCAGGCTTTTAGAGTTTGATTGATTATGGGTGTGAGAGCTACACCGCCCTGGGGTGGACAGTTTTCATATGTAAGGGAGAGGAAAAGGCTGCAGGCCGCCATTCCTCCCTTTGTGCTTGTTGCTTTGGCTGTGTTCTGCCACCAGAGCTGTAGCCCTCTGCCATGTGCCACTCTGCCTTGTAACCTGCCAAGTATGGACTGAAACCTCCACAAACTGTAAGCGAAATAAACCTTTCCTTCCTTCATTTTGGGCGTTGGGTATTTTTTCCCAGCAATGAGAGAAAAGTAACCAAGACAGAATTTGGTACCAGAGGAGTGGGGTCGTTGCTGTGACTATATCTGACCATGTGGTTCATGAGCCTTGGGAAATGGCTTGTGGGGAGTGTTTGGAAAGGTTCGGAGGTGTCGCCTGAAAGAGAAGTGCTGGAACGCCTTTGGCTGTTCTGTTTGGGAGATTTTGGTCAGAGTTCAAAAGACCAGAAGGCTGATAGAAATCCTGCTGGTAAAGACTAGACTCAGGAGGTTTCTGCTAGAACGTAGCACTGCACTGTTTGTTGGACTCCAGACAATGTGTATTATGGCTTGGCAGAAAGTTTGTCTGCATTTTGCTCGTGTCCAGAGACTTTGCCTAAGACTGAGATTAAGGGTGGTAGAGGAGTGATTAATCTGTCAAAAGAAATTTCAAGGCAGTCACACACTGGGGAAGTGGCATGGCTATTGTTGGGGGCTTTTAGCCAGATTTATATTGAGAATTAAGAACAAAGAGCCCACCCAGCAGGATGGTTTAAAATGTTGTGAGTTTGGCCAGAAAGAAAGCTCCAGTAAAGCTGTGGACTGCAAAGGTGGAGCTGAGGAGATCTCATTGCTGAGAAGAAACAAGAAAATAAAAAAGATGGGCTGAGGGCATCACAAGAAGCAGCAAGTCTCCACCCTTTGCAGCCTCAAAATTGCAAAGGTGAAAGACCTTGCCTTGAGAAGAAAGCTGCTGAGCGCCATGTTCTAGAATGGCGGCAGCATAGAGGATCTGCTCCTCAGAATTGGATTTGGAGGGCCCAGCAATCCAGGCACTCGACCCCTGTGGCCAAGAGAGAGGAAAGTAACCAAGACAGATGTCCAGATTATATTTATTGTTTTAAGTCGTATAAAGAAAACATGTGTGTGTTTTTTCCAGTTTGTGCTGATTATCAGAAAGCATGAAACATCTGTCCATTAAAGCAGCAACTCCTGCCAGGTGTGGTGGCTCACGACTGTAATCCCAACACTTGGGAGGCTGAAGCAGGAGGACTGCCAGGAGTTCAAGGCCAGCCCGGGCTACATAGCAAGACCCTGTCTCAAAATCAATCAGTCAAACAAAGAAACAAAGAAACAATAAATTCCTGAACGAGAAGCACCTTGCAAGCCATTCCTAATAGCAGTGATGAGAACTGTTTCCACATGAGAACATCTCTGGGGCCGAACAACCCTGAAAACAGCCTGAAGGAGCCGGGGAAGCCACCGCACCGCTCAGCTGGCTACCTCAAGACGGTTCAAAGAACTCTGACTCAGTATCTTACTAGAGGAGATCAGCATGGATTCAGCAGCAACATGCTGAAAGCCCTAGCTGAGAGACAGTACAAGGGCTGGGCATATAGCTCAGCGGCACAGCATCTGCCTGGCAAGCTCAAGGTCCTGAGTTCAATTCCCGCCTCCCCCACAAAAAATAGCAGAGAAAATAAGGAAAATGCAGCCTTTAATAGGCATGCATGAGATGGCATTTTCACCACCTAAGTATCCAATTACCCCAGCTCACTGAGTTGCAAAACTATAATAAATATTTGCTGATGAACTGACTTCTTATAAAATTAGTAATGGCCCAAATATTTCTCTGTGTTCAGTATCCGCTATCTCTGTCTACTGCAGTAAGCCCTTTGGCCATTCTTTCAGTGAATTTCTGTGTCACAAATATTAGCAAAAACAAAGAAAGTATTAACAAACTGAAATCACAATGTTTGCACTGCAAAAGACAGATTTTCTGAAGCTGATGAAAGCAGTATCAGAAAACCACTAAAATCACATGCGGAGTCACTCTGGATTTGATCTGGCAGTCAGGACTTTACAATGAGGAAGAGAAAAAATGCAACAGTGATGCACAATTTTCTAAATGGAATGTGAATCTCAGTGGTTTAAGACAGATTCCTGGAAAAATTGATAACTTCAATAATTTGGGGGAAACTATTATAATCTCTATAATCAAGTTGTGAAAGTCAAAGAGATTTTTATTACAGTGTCATATTTTATCAGAAAAACAATACCAAAATAATGCTCAGATGACTCTCTCTTAATTCTAATTAGTATATAGCTATAGTACAATCTAAACATTGTTAAATAGTTTAAGTCATCTTTACAATTTTTTGTTTCTTTTCCAAGGTGAAGTTTTACTCAAAAATTTTCTTTCTCAGAGATGCAAAATGGCAGAGTAGTGACAGCAGCACACCTCAGCCTTGCTGGGACCTGGAATCCAGACATCCAGGAAATAACAGCCTGACAAAAAGAGAAAAACAAGTGGGCTCCAGGTGTGGGGAGCGGCTGAGCCGCGGCTGGCGAACTCCCTGGGACTCAGCAAAGCCAGTCCCAGGAACGCAGAATGCCAGAGGCAGACACGTAAACAAGGTGACCTCTAGCTCAGCTGCGCATCAGCAGGTGTCTGGCCCGGGTGTTCCTGCATTAACTCCAGCACAACTCTGAAAATGTCTCGGAAACACGGAGACCTCGCACTTCTGACCCGTCACGGGCTTCCCCCCTTTCACTGTGTATAAATAAAGACACAGACTGCACTGGACTGCCGCTGCCTCCCCTCCGCGAGGCCACATCCCACCCAGTCCCAGCTTTCCTTTTATGATGTGTCTCGTCTTTTCTTAACCTCCTCTCGCCCCCTCTCAGGACCCGAGGCTGTGTAGGACACGGCACCAGGAATAAAGAGGGAAACTAGAAGCTACAGAGAAGTTAGGGAAACAGAACCACAGTGCAGAAAAGGAAACAAAAAAAGCAGTCTGTTACTCTCCCCAGCTCCTGGCGAGGGGAACCTGTCTCCACAGACGCAAGGTAAATCCCTACAGTTGGGAGCTGCAGGAAGAAACAACAGACTGGGCGAGCAAGCTAGTCCCTGGAAAAGCCCGTGGCTGCTGCGAAGTGCAAAGACCACATAGGGTTTTACTCTGAGAGTGACTCCTTCCACAGGGCAGGCAACAGTTAGAGAGGGAATCCAGCGCAGCATGTGCATTATGGCCAGAGAGTGTTTTACCAGGAACATTTCAAATCAGCCAGTAAATACAAGCCTCTTATTCTTCGTCTTTATAAACGCAAATATGACCTTCTGCTGCTCAGAGTTTTTGAAAGGCTTGAAGCAGATAACGTACATAAAAAGTTTATCAAAATTCTAGAGGCATTTTAGTTTTGTCTTTTTCTATGGTCTGTAGTTACTACATCTTGCCACTAGATGGCAATGCTGCGTCAGGTCAAAAGTTAACCACGCCCACCAAGGTAAGTCTGGATTTAATTACTAAGTGAAATGTGCAGAAAACTCCATTTTAGGTGTTTTCCTAGCATCTAATAATACTTAGACGTTGTGATAATTTCACATTTTGCAATAAATGAAAGTGCTAACAATGCCCTTACTTTTCATTTAGAAATCTTAATTCATTTTAATTTATAATGTGAGTAATCCTCTGAAAAGTACACCGGACCAGGTAAAACATGCTGACAGCCAATAGAAACGACTGAACATTTACCTCTGACCCCAGACTGAGAGAAACGATCTCATCCTCAAAAGCAGAATGTGTGTCAATATGAGCAGGAATTCCTGAAATAGCAAACAGGACAACATGTTGCTTCATTTTCCCTTTTAGTGGATTTAAAATGACTACACTATAAATGCAGATTTACGCAATCATGGTGAAAGCACTGTTTGGTTATCAAGACGGTACCATAATTTTAGCTAACAGGAAACATGGTGAATATGACAAAAGAAAATTGAATTAAATCTAAACTAAAAATATTTTGACTTCGCATCTTAAATAATTTCAAGTACCACTGGGATTTAAGTCCAAAATAAGGGTCAGAAGTCACTCTTTCACTAGGCACTTCTCCAATCCCAGTGGCACAGGAAGACACAGAAGATAAACACAGTCCTTTTTCCCTCGAGCACTAAAATCCCAGGTCCATGGAAGCAAAGGCAACAGCCACGAGAGAAGACTAAGTGCACCAGTGATTAAGAAATAGCTGAGTCCACTGAGCTTTCAACCTGTTAACTGAACACCTTTTGGTAAAGAAACTGCTACACAGAACAGGATACAAAGCAAGACCAGTGGAAAGATAGCTACATAAGCAATTTAAATACTTGTACATCATGATACAAGCAGGAAAAAACAAACAAACTATAACTATTATTTGCAAAACTGTTAAGTATCATTTGATTACTATAAATATCAGATGAGGATGTTGTTCACAAATGCAAGAAATTTAAAACAAATATTTTTCATTAATTTTTGTTTTGTTTTGTTTTTGTCTTTTTGAGACAGGGTCTCACTATGCAGTTCAGGCTGGCCTTGAGCTCGCTTTGTAGCCCAGGTTGGCCTTGAACTCTCAATGATCCTCCTGCCTCAGCCTCCCTAGTGCTGAGATTACAGGCGTGCACCACCATGCCTGGCCCATTAACATTATCCTAGAGTTGTGTTCCATATTCTTAAATAAAAAAAGAAGAAAAAGATCATCTGACAGTCAGCACACTTCCTTCTGCAGTTATTTGGTTCTTCTGTTATACTTGGCTGATATTTTTCAAGCAATCCTCTGCTCTAAATACAGTGAGAGGAACAAAGCAAAGCAAAAAAATCACAATCTAACTGGTATCAGTCTGTTTAAACTCTGTGATCAAAATTCCTCCAGGGGCTGAGACGCAGATTTGCAGAAGAATAAGGGCAAAGCATTGTAGCTCATTCCAATAATCCCAGTTATTCGGAGGCTGAGGCAAGAAGATCACAAATTTGAGCTCAGCCTCGGCACTTAACGACTTAGTAAGACCTTATCTCAAAATAAAAGTACTTTTTAAAAGGGCTGAGGATGTAGCTCAGTACAAAGGCCCTGGGTTCAATTCTCAGTACTGCAATAAATAAATAGGGCTGGGGATGTAGCTCAGTGGTATAGGGGTACAAAGGAAGGGAAGGGGAGGGGGAGACTGGGGGAGAGGGGAGAGAGAGGGGAAGGAGGGGGGAAGGAGAGGGGAAGGAAGAGGGAGGGACAGGGGAGGGAAGAGGGGAGAGGGGAAGGAGAAGGGAAAAGGGAGGGGAGGAGAGGAGGAAGCAAAGTAATCTATGTTAGTTTCAGCTAAGAAACAGTATCTTTAATCGTTAAAAGTTACATAACAACCTTGGTTCTAAAATATATGACTGGCATTTTAAAAGAAGAAATACTTACCTTGCCCAGGTTCATACTGATTTACGGTCAACTGATCAGGTTTATGTTTAATGTAACCTTCTGCTAACCATTTCTCCAGAAAGCTATCACAAACAGCAGGAAGACCTAAAGTCAGTAATCATAAAAGCAAGGCAACACATATTGAAATATTTATTTTGCATGTTTTACCTAAGGGGGGTAATCACTCTGATAGAAATCACACAGATTTTAATATAGCAGTCCGATCCACTAATATAACAATAAACCCACAAGCAAAAAAATTAAAAAATAAATTTTTCTTAAGAACTTCTCAAAGTTGTATCCTTGATTTTATCAAATTAAAAAGTCCAACAGAATAATTTTTTAACAACATTGGTATTCTTTAAAATAGTAATAAAACAGTAAAATTTATTTATTTTTTTTTTTTTTTTGGCTTTTTTGGTTTTTCTCTGGTACCGGGAACCAAACTCATGACCTTGCGCATGCCAGGCAGGCGCTTTTTGCCGCTGAGCTAAGTCCCCAGCCCAGTAAAATTTAATACATGTTGAATATCCCTTATCCAAAATGCTTGGGACCGGATGTGTTTCAAATTGCACTTTATTTTTTTAAGATTTTGGAGTATTTTCATATACATAATAGATATCTTAGAGGTGGGACCCAAGTTTAAATAGGAAATCCATTTATGTTTCATACATATATATTTATGCACATACACACATACATACACAGACAAAAGGCAGACATTAATGCTCAAAAAGTTTCAAATTTTGGAGCATTCTGAATTTGAAGTTTTCAGATTAGGCATGCTCAGCCTGTATATTAGATCTAAGAAATTCACTTGACCATTTTCTTTTTTGTTATTTTACAGCATTTTGTTTATTTTAATCACGGCCTTTAAAAATACCAAACTTCTCAAAAAGTAACTTTTTTTTCCAAATGTAACTTTTATGGGGGTTATAAATGTGATGTAACAATAGACAAAAAGCCTTAATAAAACCAAGTTCATAAAAACATTTAATCCAACAAAGAAACATACCAAAGGATCATTGTCCGAAATATATAGTAAATCAGTCAGCTAACTCATTTTTAAAAACTGGTAAAGAACTTGAAAAGGAATTCACAGGTAAGGAAACACGTGCCAATGGCCTAGCTCACTATTAATCTGAAAATAACCAATTTAAAGCTTTTATAATATCACGTGCTTGTAAAGGAAGGGGGGAAAGAGCGCATACCTGGTGGTACAGATGTTTTGGGGAGCAGTTCTAATACTATTAAGTAAATACAAGTTTTGATACAATAATTCCAATTCTTAGGAATCTCTTAAGTAACTTCTACATAGTACATAAGGAGGCATATACGGGAGTATTTACTGTAGTGCTCCTTCTAAGTGCTAAAAACTAGAAATAACTAAATGTCTATCAATAAGAAACTTACTGAATAAGCTACTATGGGACATTCAGTAAAATGAAAGACTGCGTCAGATCTCTAAGACATACACTGCAGAAGACAAGTTGGGAAGATGCAGGCAACACATCAATACCTAATTTGTACCATACCATGTAATACTACCTGCAATAAACCATTATTTTGATAGGTACATATATATTTGTTTCTCAAAAGGCTTACAAGGACATGCAGCAAACTGTTTCCAGCACACGCTGCTAAGGAGAAAGGAGATGAGAGGATGACCGTCAGGAGGAGCCTTTTTTTTTTCGTCTGAGACAGGGTCTCGCTATGCACTTCAGGCTTGTCTTGAGCTCACTTTGTAGCCAATGCTGGCCTTGAACTCTCAATGATCCTCCTGCCTCAGCCTCCCAAGTGCTGGGATTACAGGCATGAGCTATGACACTGAAGCTAGAAGGAGCCATTTATTTAATGTGATTTATCCAACAATCATGACCTAGCACTTTCTAATTTAAATACTTCACATTTAATCGACTGTCTGGGAAGTTTACCCAAGATGACAAATGAAACACACACCCCCAATTATGATAAACTTCCAATAGAATAAATCCTTCTTCTAAACCAGCATTTATTGTTTACTAACAATTACTTACCCTCAGGTAACGGCTTATCTTTATCTACATTGTTGTTCTCATAGTGGAATTCATAACCAAAATGCTTTACTCGTCTGTGTTTTAAAGATTTTTGAACTGGGTGAAGAGAAGAAAGTAAGTTATTTAGAAGAAAAAGAACTACAGTTTTCGATATTTTATAAATATGTATATTTTATTTTTAAAAATCTTTATTTATCATGGGAATTAGTAAGAATACAAATTGTCACAAATGGATAAATTATGATTGAATTTCATATGCTAATGGGTCAAGTCCCTGGTCCAGAAGCGTAAGAGAAGATACCTTAAACTTCTGCAGCAATTTCTTTAAGAACTACAATCTTTCATCTATTTCAGTTAACACAAGCAGTAAAGACTAGTTTGGTAACAGGAACTTCTGTTAAGTTATTGTCTTTAAGAACTTTCTTTTGGTTTTTTTTGAGACAGGGTCTTGCTACGTAGCCCAGGCTGGCCTCAAACTCAGAGTGATCTCCTGCCTCAGCCTCCAAAACGCTGGGATTACAGGTGTTTACCACCACCCCCGGCATTAAGAATATTTAATCCTTCTGTTTATTTATGCTATTCTTTCAAGTCTAAAATTGTAACAAACACTTAAAGAGCCTCACCTAATCAATATGAGAGATAATCATGTACACTGCCCCTCATGAGACTGCTCATGATGTGGAAAGAAGCTCTGGCTACAATTCAGCAGCAGAGGGCTAAACTGATGATTCCACAGGGGAAGCAAGCCTTGGAGTGAAGGACAGCAGACAAGATAACACAAGTGAAAGGACTTCAACAAGCTAGCTGCACAAATATTGGCTAATAAATATTCATGAGTGTGGAGTTCAAAATTGATAGCTATATAAATACTATCATATCGATTATTCACGTCCCTAAGAATTGCCAGTATGACTTTAACAGTGGATTGAGGATACTTTCAATGATCTCATGGAAAGAGTTTTCATAAACCAAAGGCGGAAGGGAAGAAAAGAGGAGTAGTAACATGACATTTTGTAAAAGGGTTTAATATCATATTTTGAAAATTTTACTTACAATTTTGATTGTCTGTATCTTCTGTCCAATTAATGACTTCCAAAAGCACTTTTTCATCTTCAGAAGAAATAATTTCTTCTACTACTATGAGACCTGGAGGTAAGGTTTGAACCTCAAACTCATTCCACTGCGCTACAGGAAACAAAGTTAAAATAGTCACATATAAAAGCTGCAACTCCCGTACACAAACAATTCTATCCATCTATCTATGAAGACTGACATATAATCACTTAGAGCACAGTTAAATTCTCAAGTGATTAACTGAAAGCTTCCATGTAGACACTGAGATAAACTGATCTAAATTCTCAACATTAAACTTGAAAATCACAATTAGATACGAAGCCACCAAATTAAGTAACAGATGCTTAAAGAATATTTAATGAAAGGGCCTGCTTAACTAATACCCTTTTTTGTTCTACAATAACTGAACTCCCAATTATGTCTATGAAAGAAGGTTCACACAAAAGCAAGAAACATTATTTAAAAGATAAGTATACGCCGGGCATGGTGATGCACGCCTGTAAGCCCAGCATCCGGGAGGCTGAGGCAGGAGGACTGTTGCAAGTTCAAGACCAGCCTGGGCTACAAAGTGAGCTCAAGGCCAGCTTGAACAGCATAATGAGACCCTGTCTCAAAAAAAAAAGGTAAGTAAATGATACCTTTTTCCACAAAATTCAAGTACAGAATGACCTTTTGTCCTAAACCATCCACTACTTCTTTTCCATTGAGGGAGGCGTACGCATTCTTGGACTCTTCTACTGTTCCGTATCTCACAAATGAGTACGGCTTGTTGGGGGGCATTAGGAGAGCCTCCACAAGCCCGCACCGCTCGAGGACCGGGAGCAGCTGCTTCCTGCTCACGCCGTTACCCAAACCACCGTTGGCAACAACCAGGCTCTGAGAAAACCAGAAAAGGGACATCAGCGATTCATACCAACCTGTTTATTTGCAAGTAAAATCAAAGAGGATTATTTCAAAATAATATTTCACAATGTAATTAAAAAGAAAAGATGCCTTCACGTGGTGATTTGGTTTGCTCATTTCATACAAAATATGCAAGCCAACGTGTTAAATATTCGAATAATAAGAAGCACTCCCATGTTGTAAATAACACTTAATTTTAAATAGCCTGTTCATAAAATATTCATTTCTTAATAACCATAAATGCAAATTAAAAGACTATATTTTTCAGAAATACCAGTTTAACATCCTGAAAGGGAAGAAAAGAGGAAGGATGGGGAAAAGAAACAAGCAGTTACAGAATACCTGCTTTTTGCCAGAGAACAAATGTTCTATATTCTTTCACCCCCACGAACTTCACAACAAAGTGCAGACGTTCCTTGTCTAATGACAAAGTCGGTCTGCAGGTGTCGTTCACGACTTGGGTGCTCAGAAAGGAACTGTATGTAATGCATATTACAATATGCAAAACAATGAGACGGTCAAAGGAAACTCCAGCTTGATGAGCTTGCTTTCATTTGCACAATCTTACATGCAGCACTGTAATGTACACCAACATCTAACTACAGTACTGTACTATACAGTACAGTTGCAGCACTATACAGAGAAGCCACCACAATCCCGCACTGCCCCTCACATTCCTGCGATGTAAGTCCAAATGTGAGCTGTACGTCAGAACAGATCACACATCCAGACAGTGGTTAAACAGGGAGGTAGGTCGTTAAATAAGGACCACCTGTACACTCACGTGGGTCATGAGCCCCACTTTATAAAGGCAGGAACTGAAGGGCAGAACAATTGGTTTAAGGTGGTGATTGCGGAACTGGGTTTCAAACCTGTTTATGGGATTTCCCAGAATCCACACTTTTTAGTTCAACCGTTATACAACGTTTACTAGAAAAAGAAAAAACTGGCACCAAAAATGTCAATTATGGTGCTGATGAGCACAAAGTATGAAACTGTCCTGTCTCTGTAATTCAATTTAGTTTAGTTTAGTCAGTTTACAGAGAAAAGTTTTCCTTTGTAAATTTCATGCTTATTTCTTGTTATGTGTAGTCCAATGCTACACTTTATTCAAGGGGTTTTGGGTGGAGGCATCCTGCTGTCTTTATTCAGGTGTTTATGCTGGTGTGCTTACAGTTTCCATACTTAAAAATAGTTTTTTTTAAAGATAAAGAACGAAAGCATATTAACGAACAAACAGACGTATACAAAACAACACCCAAACAATAGAAGCAACCCAGAGTTTCATATAAGGTGATAGAAAATTAACGACAGATATCGTATTATATATTGTTATCTTCAAAATGGTTACTCAGTTAAACAAATATAGGCATTGAAGATTGATCAAAGCATTGACTGTTCCTTTCAATAAAGCAATAGAAGTTGGTAATATGATTCAGTTACCCTGTGTGTGTATAGGCAGGTGTGTATATATAGATATATATATATTTATTTATTTAAAAATCATTTTCTATACACTATAAATATTGTTTTATGACCATGACTTCTAAAAATGTAGCAAAACAAAAGTAAGTCATAGATGATCTACATTCATCAATTTCATCATTTGTACTAATGTTAGCAGTTGTTTTTTTATTTTTTAGTTTTTTAGTTTTTCTCCGGTACCGGGAACCGAACTCACGACCTTGCGCTTGCCAGGTAGGCGCTTTTGCCGCTGAGCTACATCCCCAGCCCCATTTTTTTTTTTTTTTTTGTTACCGGGAATTGAACTCAGGACCTTGCACTTGCCAGGCAGGCACTTGTGCCACTGAGCTACATCCCTGGCCCTGTTGGCAGCTGTGTCAAAAAAAGCCAGATAATAAATATTCTAAAGCTTCACAACCATTTAGGTTTCTGTAACACAGTCTTGATTTTATATTTTAAGAAGCCTTTAAAATGCAAAACCCACTCTTAGCATACGAGTCAGATTTGTTCTGAAGACAGTAGTATGCTAACCCCGATTTACACTACACTAAAGATTAGTACACATTGTATTAGTTTTACTATACAAAATGAGAATATCTACAATGTGCTTGAAAAGATGTACCCAACAAGAAACAAGCTGCAAAAGCAGAAAAGAAACTTCGCCCATAGTTTTCTTACACTTCTCTTTATGAGTCCTGTAATTAAGAAACCAAGTTATGCTTGAGTAGGCTATTTGGGTTTAATCCGAAGGTCTGCCTCAGCCTCAGTGGCTTGTGACTGAGGGCAAACGTACAAAATCTACTACCTGTCCTATCCTTTGCAACATGAATTTGACCTAACTTCCCTAAAGTCATTAATAGCTGAGTAGGAACCTTTTATCTGTGAAACTCCAATGCCTATCAGCACACTGCTCGTCCCTGCCCTGTGATGCAGCAGGAGACAACGCGATAACCTAAGGAGAGCTGCTGCTCTGAGAGTCCAGACGCGAAGCTTCGGTCCCAGCTCCACCTCAGTGTATCTCCTTGGCCCCCAGTTAGGTGACAGGTAAGCTTCCTTCCCACTCTTACTCTGTAACTTTATGAACCAAAAAGTGTCCCACAAGACTTCCTTGTATTCATGAAGTATTTTTAAATCTATTGATATTGTCACATACTCTCTGCAGAACCTAATCATGCAGTGGAGTAAAAAATATTGCATATCATACTGTACACTACACCCCACTTATAAACGAAGAAAGCCTACGTCAAAGGGTAACGCTCATGTCTGAATCAGTGGAGAAGTAAAGTGAGTTTCTAAACTGTAACGCAGGCAAACTCAGTCTCTCATACATAGTTGCATTTCATTATTGCCATCATAAAATGAAAAGGCCTTGTTAGTAAACCCTAATAAATAAAAATGTTTGAGGGTACATAACTAAAATACTTTATAATATAGGTCAGTTTGGGAATAGCAGTAAGACTATATTAGGACACAGAAGAACTAGCTTTGTATCTCTGTTCACTATTTTATGTCAGTGAACATATAACCTCTTAAAACTTTAGTTTTCTCACTTGTCTCAAGATTTTAGGGAATTAAATATAATAAATATAATAATACACCTAAGTATCAACTGAAAAGACTTGTACAGCATGATAATTGATGTATACCCACAACTTCCTCTGGTGCAGTCAGTATGATCAATAAAAATTCAAATTACAGGTTAAGGGGCTGCAGGTGTAGCTCAGTGGTAGGCGCTGCCTAGCAAGCTCGAGGCCCTGAGTTCAAAAACCCCTCTCCCAGCACTGCAAATATAAAGCAAAACAAATTACTGGTCAACACATAACCTAGAATACAAAGCTGAAAGGTTTTATCATCAGTATATTTAATCTGGATGAACCACATGATGGGCTGATCTCAGCCTTGAGCAATTATTAAAAATATTAACATAGTCCATCAACATCCACACATTTACATTAAACTTATAGGAAGAGTTTTAGGTCACCTGAGTGCCATAGGACACTGCCTCAATACCTTCATGTCTCAGCAAAGTATGCCTGGCTTTAGCTTGTTTCCTTAAGAACTTCTTCTCAGTTTTATTGAGTTTGAAATTACTTTGACAGTTGATCTCCATAGCAATACTGCAAAATAAAAAGAAGTTGAAATGTCAACCTTAAGAGTTCTGAAGAAATAATTATGTTATGTTTGTAGCCTTTAAATTTTGCATGACTTTTTTTTTTAAATCCTTAGTTTACCTTTCACCAACCCAGAAAAGTGGGAACCAACATGGAAATAAAGGAATATTTAAGACAATGAAGAAGTAAGAGCATCTAATCACACCTTTGAGAGTTCTAAGATATGCTCCTATGTGCGGCTTCCTTAAGTGCACTGTTTTTAGCCAGGCATGGCAGCACACACCGGTAATACCAGCAATCTGGGAAGCCGAGGTAGGAGGGTCACAACTTCAAGCCCAGCCTGGGCAATTCAGCCACTTAATGAGACCCTATCTCAGTATAAAAATAAAAAGGGCTGGAGATGTAGCTCAGTGTGAAGGACCTAGCTTTAATTTCCAGTATCACATTTTTTAAAAAGTGTGCTGCTTTCCTATAGGTAGGATATCTTATTACTTATGAAGTCCTACATAAAACACAGCATAGACAAACTTCACAATCATAATACAGGGCAAGGTAAGGAGGAAGGAAGAGCAGGGGAAGAAAAGTCACAAGGCATGCAGTATGAGTCCACCTATAATAAAGCTCCAAATCCAAAAGCAAGCCATTTATCATTTAATGCACATAAAAAAGAAAAGCATGGAAATTATAACCAAAAAATTCAGGAAAGAAGTTATTATTTTTCTTTTCCTTTTCCTTTTCCTTTTTCTTTTTCCTTTTGAGACAAGGTTTCATTGTCTAGTTTAGGCTGGCCCTGAACTCACTCTGCAGCGCAGGCTGGCCTCAAACTCACAGCATCCTTCCTGCCTCAGCCTTCCAAGTGCTGGGACTGCAAATATGCACCACCATGCCTGGCAAGGAAAGAGGCTATTTCTAAAGGGGGAGGGAAAGAAAACTATTATGAGATGTGACACATAGAAGCATCAAAGCTATTATTTTATGCTAGGCAATAGGTATAGGTGTTGGTTTCATTATTTTTAAAACAGCCTATTACATAGCCTATATTCATAATTTTTTAAATAACAGAAACAAGAACCCCATAAAATTATGTTTTCACTTTATTGAAGTATGTCTTCGTAGTTACTAAGTACTCCCAAAGAGGCCTTTATCATCACCGTAAATCTGCACCCTACACCCTGCTTTAGCATAGTAGCCAATTTTACTTTGTTCACAGAATTGCACAATTTACTATGATTTATCTGTTAGCTTAACTCCCCTGTCATGGAATATGCTCAAAGACAGTGGGAATGCCCAGCACACAGTGGGCACAAAGCAAACATCTGTTGAAGAGATAATCAACAAATGAGAGAATACACACATGCTTATTATGACCTCAGCACCCTGCAGCATACATATCACGGGCTTCCAACAGGTTTATAAGTTAGCTGAGAACAAACACCGAACAACGAAATCATATGACACACCTTTTTATAACCGAGTGTTAATGACAGGGTCACCAGGTGTGACCTGAGCAAGAGAACAAAATATAAGATCAATGTTAACTGGAAAACTTGGGAAAACTTCAAACCAAAAGGCAGCTCATGCTCGGTACTCAAGGATAAGAACACCACAAAGTCATACGGAAAAGAAGATTTTCAGCGAGATGGTAAATGGAAGAACGGTAAAGCAGAACTGCCCGTGTCTGGCAAAGACAATGAGACATCGGCATACATTTTTAAAGTAGAGATATATCTATGGAGATACATGTATATTCTATCACATGCTGATACATGTGATAGGAGGTAAGGCCAGTGAGACGGGCCGGTGGGACAGCAGTGCAGGGAAGTCAGAGAAGCCCTGGCAAGAACTCCCAGCCTGAGGGCTGGGGATATAGCTCAGTGGCATAAGTGCCTGCTTTGCAAGGGCAAGGTCATGAGTTCAATCCTCAGTACCGCAAGAAAAAAAAAAAAAGTTTTGCTAGGCGTGGTGGCGCAAGCCTGTACTCCCAGCACTCGGGAGGCTGAGGCAGGAGGATCGTTGTGAGTTCGAGACCAGTCTGGGCTACAAAGTGAGCTCAAGGCCAGCCTGAACTGCATAGCGAGACCCTGTCTCAAAAAAAAAAAAAAAAAGAAAAAACTCCCAGCCTGGCGGGTAGAAATGCTGGTCTGATGCACACTGGAGTCACAGAGGGAAAGGACATAAGGAGAGGGGAAGGTTAAAAAAAAAAGTTCAGGCAGAATCAACAGGCCTTGATGACTACTGAGATGTGAGGAAGAGCGGAGTCAAAGATCACTCCCTAACAGAGGAGGGCCTGAGTAACGGGGCCTCCTGACATTATCTCAGAACTGGACAGTCAGGAGGAAGGCAGGAAGAGCCATTCAGGGAGGTAATGAGTCAGATTTAGACTATGATGTCTAAGGAGCAGGTGAGACCTACAGCTGCAGTGTCTGGACAGCATGTGACAACATGAAGTGGCTCCTAAGAAAAGAAAGGAGGCTAGAGAACTTCGGAGTCATCATTACAGAGGAAAGGGAACTGACTGGGTATGTCTAACGCTGCACTATTTATAATTGTTGTACTAATATCTGTCCCTTCCATGGACTATGAGTGCTATGAGGACAAGGATTAAATCGTTCCTTTCATAGTTACCCAAGAGCCTCCCTCAGTGCTATGAGGCAGCACACCACAGGGTTCAGGAGTCCAGGTTCCAGGTTCGACTCTTAGCTCTAACACAGACTGGTAGGGCTGGCAGCTGTATGCTCCTGGTTGAGTTAATTAGGTATCTCTGTGTTTCAGCTTCTATAAATATGGATAAGGACAACAATAATCCTTCTAAGGGCTTTGTCAGAAGGATTACACTTATGTATTACTACATCACTGTTAGGTTTTAGAAGAGGCAGATGAAAATGGTTTAATAAAACAAAAATAGCTAAGCGTCTTCAAAGGAATTATTTTACAGGTATTCAGTGTTAAGGTTCCCACCTGTGAAACAGCAACTTTGCAGTAGGTCACGGCAAACAAGGGTAGAGTACACTACAAAAATTTTTTTCTTACTAGTTCACAAAGACAAAGACTGCAGAATAGAAGAAATAAAAAAGAAAAAATGCTGAATAAATCTCTTTAAAAGTCTGCCACTAAACCGTGTGGCGCACGCCTTTAATCCCAGCACTAGGGAGGCTGAGGCAGGAGGGTCATTATGGTTTGAGACCAGCTTGGGCTACAAAGTGAGCTCAAGGCCAGCCTGAACTGCATGCACAAGACCCTGTCTCAAAAAAGACAAAAAAAAAAAAAAAGCCTGCCACTAAGAAACCAGCACCAGCAGATGGAGCCTTAGGACCACATGTTTGTCATTCTATTTCCTTTCTCCCTCTAACTCACATACCAGTATTAGAGACGAAGTCAAATCCAGATAGCCTCATTTTTCCATTTCAGTGGCTTGGAAATATAACGAACTACTAGATCTGAGTCATTTCAACAAGCAATAGGCTGGTACCAGTTGCTAAGATCTAGAGGTGCCCCTCCCTACCAACGCCACTTTTCTAGCCAAGGACTTTCCGCTCTACCTACACACGTGCACCCGTGTTCCTCGCCATGGCATGACAGTAAGGCTACTATTCACCAGGTAGAGTACTAGCCATGCTGGGCTCAGTTTAGCCACCTCCAGCCTGAGCATATTCTCTGCAGGATAAGAAGAATTTGAAGATCATACACACTCTATTTGCTTAGCAGCAAGTTTCACCCCCAATACATTCTTCAGGACATTGCCCAAATAGCAATACAGTGTATATATCCATGCCCTCCTTGAATAACAGCTTATTATGAACCAAACAGTACAGAAAAATGTTCCTGCACTTCTATGTAAATTATAATTAACAGCAATGATTAGAAAAGAAAAACTAAATTCCTCTCAAATGAGGCCTGATTTTAAAGTACAACACAGGCGTACACTGCGTATATAAATATTTAGAACACACAAAGCTTCATATGGGTTGCCTCCAACGAAAGGAAATGGGTACACAATCTGAAATGAGAACTTTCCTCTTTCGTGACTTTTGAATTTTAGATGCTATTCAAATTGTACCACTTGGCCGGGTGTAGTGGCACAAGCCTGTAGTCCCAGCACTTGGGAGGCTGAGGCAGGAGGATCTCTGTAAATTCGAGGCCAGCCTGGGCTACATAGTGAGTTCAAGGCCAGCCTGGAATACACAGCCACATAATACACAGCCAGGTAGTACCCGGTCAGGTAGTACCCGGCCCGGTAGTACAACTTGTCTCAAAAACAAAACAAAAAATATACTACCTATTTTAAAAGAAAATGAAGTTTTTAAACAGCAGGAAAAATTCACTCCATCATTTATCACATCATCCCTTTTGCTTTTTTTTTTTTTTTTTTCTTTAGACAGGGTCTCATTAGGCAGTTGAGGCTGGCCTTGAGCTCACTTTACAGCCCAGGCTGGTCTCTAACTCAAAGTGATCCTCCTGCCTCAGCTTCCTGAGTGCTGGGATTACAGGCGTGCGCCACCACGCCCAGCTCACACACCATCCCTTTTAAAGTCTTGGAAGGACACTTTCTATAACTTAATGTGAAGTCCACCCACGAAGTAGGGATTTTGTTTATATTATTCACTCTGTAGCACTCAGCACCTGAACAGAATCTAATAGCTTGTACCCACTCATTAAATATTTGTTAGAATTTGCCCACCGAACTCCTAAACTTGTCCTTCAGAATTCTGTGTGGTGGCCTTCTTCAACATGTCCGTGAAAACCTAGTGCTTATCTCTGTCTTGGAGTTTTCACATTTATTATCGTTACCTTTGGTGCGGTGGGGTAACTCAGAGACCGTCATCTACCTAAAGGCACTGACTTGAGAGTAGCATACAGGTAGTGTTCAGCGAAATCGACCCGAACTACAGGCTGACGTCTCCCCACGCAAGAACCACAAGTACAGTGCTGCTCAAAGAACAGCACGAACACGCAGGCGCGTGCGTGGGCGATCGGACACCAGGAAGGTCTGTGCACCGGCTCCACACGGGTGCGCAAAGCCCTGAGCAGCGCCGAGCACCGCGTCCCGGCTGCGGCCGCGCGCAGACACCACAGGGCCCCAACGGCAGCACACACGTGCGCCGTGCACGCCGCAGTCACCCAGCCCGCACACCACCGCCCGCAGATCGCGCCGATCGCAGCCGGGGTCACCCTTCCTCCGGGTCCGCAGCCCCTCGCCAGCGGCGGACAGGCGGAAGCAGGGATTTTACAGCCGTCGTGCCTGCCAGCAACAGGTGCCCCAAATCTCCTCCTCTGCTTACACCATGTTCTCACAACGCTGTTTCTGCCGCCCTCGTAGCCTCCCACTCTAGCCCCCCGCAACCTGGGCGAGCAGCCGCGCTCCAACTCACCCGGGCGCGGCCATGTTGGCGACGGCTGCACTACACTTCCCGTGAGCCTCAGGGGCGGCGAACGGCGCTCCCACAATGCCCCGCGCCTCCCAACCTTCTGTGTTGACCCCTGGGCGGTCAAGGGCCAGTGTAAATGCTCCGGGACAGGAGTGAAAATTCGGTAGTGATGTTCGGGTGAACGGTAATGGTTGGGAGTGCAGTTTATTTCTACTAGTCTCTCTCCAAAATGGAGAAGGTCCAACAGATTATGTCTTTGTGGTCTATCAATAGTACTCTCCCCGCCTTGGGATCTTGGTGTATCTGGTCCTGAATCTGGAGGTGTGGGAGGGGACCTTGGGTCTGAAAGATGACATCTTAGGGGGAGCAGGGAAGGAAGTGACTACGTGCACGTGCCAGGGGAAATGGTGAGCAGCACAGAGCAACGGGAAGGTGTGTGGAAGAATGTTACAGAAGGCAAGGGGCGGGGGAGGGGCGCATCGGGTTGTTAGAAAACCTAATCCGGGAAAGATTAGAGAGATGGAGTGGCGCGACCGGAGCTTCGCGCGGAATGTGGAGGAGACTAGGAGATGACTACTGCGGTGGTGAAGTGAAACGCGGTGAGATATTAACTGTATCACCTGGAACACTTCCAAAGAAGTGAAAAACGATTTGGTAACAAAGAAAGGAGATGGTGAAGCTTAGCAATTATTTCTGCTCTAATGTCGTAATTTTATAAATCATCCTCCCTGCACTGGATTATGAGCTCTCTGAGTATATCGAAGGAGACGGGGAGGGGTATTCTAGTGCTGATACCGGTATCTCTATGGGCATCCCACTGCAGTGCACAATCAGTAAAAGTTAATGCTGGCTGACCGGAGGAAGTGGCATTGATAAGAGAGTAATGATGAGCAGAGGAATAACTGGTGCTGGGAATAGCCTACAAGGAGGAGAGAACAAAAGTTGGGAGGCTAATAGGCAGCCACTGCAACAGTGCTGCCTATTATATCACTGGACCCACCAGGGAAGAAAGGGTGAAACCAAAACAGAATAGCAAAAGTGAAGAGACAAGGAAAAGCTGTAGAGGTCACATCAGCTAGGCTCTGAAAACTACTTGATTATATATGTGACTCTACCTCGTTGCTGTTTGTCTGATACTTTCAAAAACATATCCCAGCCGGGCGTGGTGGCGCACGCCCGTAATCCCAGTACTCGGGAGGCTGAGGCAGGAGGATCATTGTGAGTTCGAGACCACTCTAGGCTACAAAGTGAGCTGAAGGCCAGCCTGAACTGCATAGCGAGACCCTGTCTGAAAAAGCCAAAAAAAAAAAAAAAAAAAAAACCCAAAAACGTATTCCAGCAGTGATGGAAATGTTTTGTAACCTGAGCTGTCCGATACGATAAACCAGTGGTGGCAAACCTAAGGCGTGCATGTTCCTTGTTTTTCTTTTAAGACAAAAGATGTTAATGTGTGAATTTTTTCTAGGCTAAAACCTCAGTATGCAGGTTTAATTGCAGTGCTGGTACTTTGCAATAAATAATGGGTTTTGGATTGCAGTTTGGGCATTCTTCTTTAAAAGGTTCACCATCACTGTCTAGCCATGTATGGCTTTTGAGCATTTCAAATGTGGCTAGTACCACAAATTTTGAAGTTTTAAAAGTTTAGTTTTAATTAATTTATATTCACATATCCACTTATAGTTGGTGGTAATTGGATCACACTGTAAAATATCCCCTTTTCTCCTATTGCCCAAATTCAATTATTTCATCTCAGTATGTGTCCTACTTGAAAGTAATGAAGCTTTTAAAACTTGCATTTTTAAGCTTCCATGAAACTGTCTTCTTTTCATTCTCTTTATACATTATAACCTCTTGCTTTCAGAGTTTTCTATTACCTTTTCTCCCTCTATCCATAATTAAATGTGGGCAATCCCTCAGGTTTTGTATTTAACCTTCTCTTCTCCCTAGGAAAAAGTAGATACATACAAAATTTTAAGGGCTGAGTATGTAGCTCAATGGAAAAGCACTTTTGTTCTTTTTTTGTTTTTTTATTACTTTTTTACTTGATTTTTGGTTGTGGGAATCGAACTCAGGACCTTGTGCTTGCCAGGCAGACACTGTACCACTGAGCTGTATTCCCCAGCCTTTTGTTTTGTTTTTGAGACAGGGTCTCACTATACAGCTAGGTCTGGCTTTGAACTCACCAAGTAGTCCCTCTGTAGTCCAGGCTGGCCTCAAACTCTTTGCAATGCTCCTGCCTTAGCCTCCCAGGTGTGGGGATTTAAGAACATTTTCTATCATGTGCAAAGGCCTGGGTTTGGTCTCCAGCACCACCAAAGCAGAAAAGAAAACAATGTATTTAATCCCTTGTATGCACGCCTTTATCTTTTCCTGAAATATTGCATAGACCATTTCTCTCAGAGATGACTGAGCAATTTTCAGCTACATGGCGACTGTTTTGTTCATTACATAACCCCTGTGTCTTTCATAGTCTTGTAATAATAGGAATTTAATAAACTGAACTAAAATGAAAAGGAATTGAATTTAGAGATAGAATTCATTTTCGTCTGTGCCAAAAGCTTTTACGTTGGTGATGTATAGTAATTTTGCAAAAGTATTATTACTGACCTAGTGAGTCTTTCCTTTTCTTCCTGTGCTCATCTCCACTTCATGAGAAGAGTCCTCTGTGTGACTCTGCAGAGGTTGGCAAGATTTTTCTGTAAAGGACAAGATAATAAATGTTTTTAGCCCTAGGGCCACATATTCTTTTTTTTTTTTTATATAACAAACTCTTTAAAACTATAAAAACTTTTCTTAGCTCTCCCTACTTACGTCTGCAGGACTTGTCTAATGAGCTATAGTTTGCCAATCCCTGTGCCCTTTTCCTCAACTCTGTAACCAAGAGCACAGTCTTAAGTTCAGTATCGCTAGACCCACCACTGAGGATACTTATTGTGCAGTATAACATAATAGAAATAAATTTAATCAGATTAGCCAACACTAAGTTTTCAAAAATTGAAAGGTAGAGTTTCAGAAATTAGGATAAGATGAATATACCAATTAGAGGTTGCTTTTAGTTGCCAGTAACAGAAAACTGGGCTGACTAAACAAATGATGACTTTTCCAGAAATGACAAGCCACCCAAACACAGCAATCACTGGCATTTTTTCTGCTGCTCAATAACATCATAAAGAACCCAGGCACTTCCTGCTTTCCTGCTTCACCATTGTTGATATATTGACTTTTTATCCTCACTCCTAATGTCTCCTGGTCACAATGTGGCTGCTATAGCTCTATATGTCTGTCCCCACACCAGCATCTCTTGCTGGAAATGCAGAGTAACAGAGTTTCCATCTCTTTATCCAAAAGATGAATCCCTCAGTGGACTTCCCTTTTTTTTTTTAAGTGCCCATCAGTTGCATGCTATGGTAGACAGAATGATGAGCCCAGTGGATATCCAGACTAATCTCTGTAACTCATGAATATGCAGATGTAATTAAGTTTGAAGATTTTAGACTATCCTAGATTATCAGTGATCCAATCTTACTACACAATTCATTATAAGTAGAGCACTTACTCTAGATGGAGTGAGAGAGATGACTCCGAAGTAGTCAGAATGATTCCAAGTGCAAAGAGTTTAACACTGTGATGTGTAAGGTTTCATGTGCAAAGGCTGCAAATATCCCTTTAATCACCCAGTTTATAGCCAACAAGAAAAGATGGCCTCATGCTACAACCATAAGGAATTAGATTTTGCCAATAATTAAACAAGTTTACAAGCAGATCCTTCCCAGATATCTTAATAAGAGCCTAACCAGCTGCCATCTTGATTTTGTCTATGGAACCATAGCAGAGATACCAACAAAAGCACACCTAACTTCTAATAAATTTGTGGTAATTTGTTGCAGCAGCAATGAAAAATTAACATACATGCTTGCCCCAGACCAGTCACTAGGTGCAGTGAGTAGAATGCTCATGATTGCTTTAAGGCCACTCATGATTTGCTCGGTGGGACTAGGATGAGGCTTATCTTCCCTGAGATCAAAAGACTTTCACTCTCAGAAGACCTACGCTGTGCTGTATGTGGAGGGGAAGAATGTAGAGGGGAGGAATTTTCAGTTTGTTTGTTTCATTCTTTCTGAGAGACGTTAACCTGAGAGATGGGAAGAATAGATAGAAATCAATGACAGAAAAAGAGTCAAAAGGAAGTTTTTTTTTTAAAAGTTCAATATTAACATTTCTCAAATGATTGTTGATTAAGCTAATTTCTGGTGACTAGAGGAGGATTCTCTTCTGCTCACTTCCCACCCATACCACGGAAGTTCTACTTTAGGGACAATATTGGGGTCTCTGACAATATTGGGGCTCTGATTTTTTTAGTAGTTCTATTAGCAGGAAAAAAAGGGGACATTTATTGGGTAGACAATTAACACTGTGCTCCCTCTGGGAGACAAACAGTTATTTCTCGCCGGACCATCAGGATATAGCCAGAGAAAACCTAAGAGAAAGGATGTTAGAAGGGTGAACGCTGACATCAGTTAGCACAAAGGTAGAATTCTACACAAAGGTAGAATTCTAACCACTGTTGTAATCTATTCCCATTCTTTTCAATCAGAAAATAATTAAAAATGGCCCTTGAACATTGTCACATTTTTATTGTGGTTCCAAACTGTGATACTATTTTACTGCAGTTTCAAATTTAATTCCTGTATTTTTAAAAAGCATTAAATGCTGACCTACTTCCTATATTTATAAGGTTTCCAACCTCCCTTCTCCTGCCTCCCGCCACCCCCTTTTGCTTCTGGCTAGCTTCTGGTTGTTCTTCTCCTTTCCCCAGTGGCAAGTGCACTACTGCTTTGTCCCCCTATTTATGGTTAGAAAAAAAAAAGCTTTTAGTCCTCAGTCCT